GTTTAGAAAATCCTTTCCTATGCCTATATCTTGTAGGTTTATCCCAAGGTTTTCTTCTAATAGTTTCACATTTTCAGGGTTTACATTGAGGTCTTTGAGCCATTTGGAATTGACTTTTGTGCAGGGTGAAAGATAGGGGTTTAGTTGCATTCTTCTACAGGTGGAGATCCAGTTTTGCCAGCACCATGTGCTGAACATGCTGTCTTTCCCCCAGTTAATGTTCTTGGTCCCTTTGTCAAATATCAGGTGCACTGACTCATATTTGGGTCTTCGATTTTGTTCCATTGCTCTATGGGTCTATTTTTGTGCCAGTACCATGTTTTTATGACAACAGCTCTGTAATACAGCTTGAAATCTGGTATAGTAATCCCCCCGGCACTACTCTTAGTGCTCAGGGTTGGTTTGGCTATCCAAGGTCTTTTGTGCTTCCATATGAATCTTAGGATTGTTTTTTTCCAATTTCGAGAAAAACGTTGTGGGGATTTTGATTGGCATTGCGTTAAATCTATATATGACTTTTAGTAGGATAGTCATTTTCACAATATTAATTCTTCCAATCCATAAGCATGGGATGTCCTTCCATCTTCTGATGTCTTCCTCAGTTTCTTTCTTTAAAGATTTAAATTTTTCATTGTAGAGCTCTTTAATGTCTTTGGTCAGGTTTATTTCGAGAATCTTTTTTTTTTTTATTTTATGCAGCTATTGTGAACAAGAGTGTTTCCATGTGCTCTTTCTCTGACTGCTTGTTATTGGTATATAGAAAGGCTATAGACTTTTGTAGGTTAATTTTGTAACCTGCCACTTCACCGAATGTGTTAATAATTTCTAGGAGTTTTCTAGTGGAATTTTTGGCGTCTCTTAGATATAATACCACAGCATCTACAAAAAGGGATAATTTGATCTTTTATTTCAATTATTACTTCTTTAATTTCCTGCTCTTGTCTTACTGCTCTTGCAAGAGTTTCAAGCACTATATTAAAGAGAAGTCGAGAGAGTGGACAGCCTTGTCTGGTTCCTGATTTCAATGGGAATGCTTCCAGTATTTCTCCATTTAGAATGATGTTGGCTGTGGGTTTGTTGTATGGCTTTAATTATGTTGAGGGATGTTCCCACCAGTCCAATTCTCTCTAGGACTTTGAACGTAAATGCATGTTGAACTTTGCCAAAGGACTTCTCTGCATCTATTGAGATCACAATGTGGTTCTTGTCTTTGATT